GAAAAATCTAATGATATTTTTAATTGTCCTTATTTGGAACAAGATTCAAAATTTAGGGTCAAATGTGTCACAATTGAAAAGTCAGGGACCAAAGTGACACAAGTTTCAAACTATAGGGACTATTAATGTAATTCACTCTAAATTTTCTACACTCGAATCATAATTCAAAAATTCATAAATTCAAAATATAACTTTATCCTTAAATTATATTTAAAACTCTACTAAACCTTACTTTAATTTAATTTAATTTTTTTATCAAATTAACGGAGAGATTGAGAGAGAGATGGAGAGATGGAGAGATGGTTAGTTGATTGTTGCTTGGGTGGGAAGAAACGTGGGGATGAAATGGGCAAATATTTTTTTTTAAATTCTTCGTCAGGCTGAGTGCTGGTTGGGAGAATGAGGAAACGTTGGTGTATTTTTATTTTATTTTATTAAAATCACTTAAATTCCACATGCCAGCCGCTTCAGGAGACCAAATTCAGAATTGGGATCCTCTCTTTAGAGCATCTCCAACCCATTCTTCATCTATTCTATTATTAAAAGCCAACACCAATTTTGGTGTCATGAAGCCCAACTTTTATCTCCAAAAACTTTTGCCACCTGTAATTAGATAATAAAAATAAATAAATAAATAAATAAATACATCCACATCCTCTCCACCCCACCCCACCCACGTTCCCTCACATATCTCAACCAAACCAATTCTGAACTTCCACAAACATATATACACACACACATACGGTTCTCTAATTGTCTCTCTAGAATCCTTGATTGGATTGTAGGGTTTCAATACAGACCACTCTTTTTTCTTTGATCACAGTGAAACAGAGAAATTCAATAATGGCGTCTTCGTCTGCTAATCTGTGGGTGTTGCTGGGATTGGGCTTTGCCGGAATTCTGATAATGACGAGAAATTCAATAATGGCGTCTTCGTCTGCTAATCTGTGGGTGTTGTAGGTTTCATTTGTGTTTTGATGTAATTATTTGGGTTTGATTTATTTGTTTGTTGTTTTAATAGTGTTCAACTTCTTTGTTTTAATTTTTTTAAACTGTCAAGTGTATATTAATCTATTTATCTGTAAGTGTTTTAAGATCATTGGTGTCATTTGTTTGTTAAAAAAAATAAAAATTAAGCATTTTAAAATTTTCTAGATGTGTTTAAAAAATTTAGTGTTTTTCAGTGTTCTTAAATTCTACATAACTATAAGTCTTTTGAGAGTTTTCAATTTGTATTTTTGTATTTTTTTGTGTATTACTGTTAATTATACTTTTCATAGAAAATAAAAAAGATCCATTATGTTACCAGGTTTCTTTGGGGAAAAAAAACATATAGTACAAGTTTATATTCAAATTTTTTTATATATATAAAAAATTGCGAAGTATAAAATGTGTGCAATTATTTAGACGTAGATTACACTTAAAAAGTTTTGAGTTTTTTTTTTCACGGTTATCTTTTTAAAGCTTTTGTTTTTGTTTTGTTTTGTTTTTTTGTTTTGTTTTTTGGGTCTTTTTTTTTTTTGTGTATAAATTCAATTTTTAAAATTTGATTTGTTTGTTCACTTAATTCTGTGTGTATGTTATTTAAAATAAAATCCAGTGCTCTTAAAAAAAATCATATAAAATGAGTGTCTTTGGTCCCTGTTTGGTTGCCGAGAAAAGGGAAGAAAAACCCACAATGTTCTTGATATCATGCAAGCTAATTCATCAGCACATGTTCATAAGTGCATCTACAAACATGCAAAAATAAATTACCCCAAAAAATCAATTATCAACTAGGTATTTGCCCATATGGGTTAGACCAAAAACAAAGCAAAAATAACCGAAGAACAAGAGAGAACGAGAGAGAGAGAGAGAGAGCTCACCACGCTGGAGAGCTGTGTTAAACGCCAACGAGATCGCTGGAGAACTTTGATCTCTAGCTGCTTTCGATGCTGGAACAGAGAATCTAGAACTCATCCACTGTTTACAACCCTCCCCATCCACTGTGTTCTCTTATCGGAACTCATCCAGTGTGTTCGCTATACATATCTTATCGGAACTCTGATCTGGAGTGAGAGTGGGAGTGAGAGAGTGAGAAAACCCTAGCCATGTTGAAACATTCGGAGAAATGAGCCTGACCCATTCCCCGATGGGGAGTTAAATTAAATCTCCTACTGACCCGATGGAGAAAAAAATAGGAGAAACCCATATATTTCGGGTAGGGTCTCCATGGGTAACCATTGGGTATGGGTTTTATTGCCATCCCTAGTTGCAGCTGTGGACATAGCCCTATTATGGGGGTGAATCACGTAAATTTTTATGTTTCTTGTGTGTGATTGCTTTGATTCGTTTTAGCTTTATTGTTTGCTATTTTGTGTCTCACCCATTTTGGTTAGGAAGAGTCGATTTCCTAACACAATAAACTAAAGACAATTAAAGAAAAATGAGCACACCAAAGACAGAAATCGAAGCACCATGGCTTTTATTAAATGAGGAGACTCACATTGCTTGGTCTAGAATAAAGGCCTTATAGGATCTTATTCACTCACATCACTTGTAAGAGAGGATGCTTGGTAATTAGCTTCAAGCGGTTTCTCAAATTTGCTCATTCATTTATTGTCAAAAGACCAGTTAGATGGAGGATTCAAGCTTTGGATCCAATTAAAATGTAGGTTTGGACCTTTTAAATCACATTCCTCTCATTTTAACTGGCCCACACTCAAGTAACCAAACAAAGCAAAGAAAACAATTGAGAAAGCATGCTACATCCCAAAGCTGAAGTTAGTAAATAGTTAAAAGTCGTGTAAAATTTATCCACACTTGATATAGCATCAAACTTTATCTATCTATTTAGGATTGACATTTCTGGACTGATCTTCAACTTTAGTGTTGTGAGTAAGGCCTAAACCCGATCTACCTAGGTGACTAGGCAAATTGTGCTCTAACACACAAATTGGCATACCGATAGGAAATTCAGGTAAAATCCGTGAATTGAATACTAACTCAATGACAAGTTGCAATGTACCAATCAAACTTAATACTTTGCCAAACACCTTCCAATGTACCAAAGTGGTGTTAGTGGTTCAGACACGCGACCATAGATGTAGACATCTCACACTTTGACAACTGCACCACTAAAGCACTTTGCAAATAAATGCAACCATATACTCCCTCCGTCCAATAGTGTTTGTCCTTATTTCCAATTTGGGATGTACCCAGTATGGTTCTCTTTGAAAAGTGAAAAGAACTTTGTTCTTTGTTGTTTGTTGTCATGAATTGACCTCATTTTCTTTCCTCTTCAACTCTGATCACACACAATTTTGATTTAGAATTGGAAATGGTTATGTTAATGGTATAGTTGTTGATGGTATGGAATTAGCTTGGTGCAGACATATTTGTTGCAATTTATTTTTTTTTCCAGATTGTCTCAAGAATTTATTGATTATTTAGGTTGTCCAGTGGGTGCACATTCTGGATAAGTAAATTATCTTTGTTGTTGGAGCAAAATAGAAATGCCATTCCGTTAATCTAAGTGTGCATGTGTTCTTCTACGTTATGAGAACATTTTGGGGGATGTCATGACTCTGATGCATCAAATTTTAAGGCCAGATTGGTTTTGACTTATAGTTGGGGGTAGGGCTGTTTATAAAACCAATTAACCCATTCAAACCAACCGAATTGAACTGATCCGACAGTCTATGGTCAGTTTTGCCAAGTTAAACAGTCGGTGGCAGATGATACCAACTAAAAAAAACAATTGCTGGTTCGGTCTGCAGATTTGAAGCATTCCATCCGACTAAAATCCGACTGACTGAATTATATGTTCTCTGAATGTTTTTACAGGTGGTGCATTCATATTAGTTGAAGAATTTGTCCTTTATCACTTGTTATACAATTGTCTCATTTTAAATTAATGCTCTTTTTTCTAGATCAGAGAGCTGAGACCTTTACTTTATTACTTTATTCTCTTGCTAAGAGAGCCTTATCATTTCCAATGCATAAGGTTGACAGCCTCTTTTCTCTCTTCCCTATCCCTCTCTCATTTATCACTCTTATCCTCTCCCTCTCTCTTCCATTATTCTGAAGTTCTATTTACCCCTAGTCTCCTCGCTCTTCGTATCCTCTCATCAAAATTACTCTCCCTAATCTCATTTCTCTCACTTCTTCTATATCTCTGAGCTTCTATGTATCTGCCATGGGGGCTGAAGCCATGAAAGGATTTGGTAGTGGTGACGCTGAGATACTTGGCGGAGATGTGTGTTGAGATCGTGATAATGGTGCTAGCGGTGAAATGGTGATATTGATGGTGGCAGTGATCATGATCTTCTCATTCTCTCTCCTTCTCTAACTGTCTTTCCCCTCTCTCTCTCATCCTCACTCCCCCAGCCCCCCTTTCCTAAATATCCATTGATCTTGATGGTGGTTTGTTGTAGTACCAACTGATGTCTGAAACAATTTTTCTACACCTGAAGTGGCCAGGTTTGAATGATAATTGGGTTCAAATCAGTTGGCAAAGTCTCCAATCCGAGGTTGTTGGTTCGGGTGATGGTTGGCTAACAAATCTGAACTGGACCACCCGTGAACAGCCCTAGTTAGGGGGATAGAGCTTGAAGTTTGGACCATGGTTCAAATTGTGAATTGAGTCAATCCAGTTTTCAGAGAATCAATAACTTGAGGTTAAGGAAAACGTAATGGGAAAAGAAAGAAAATAGAAGCGGAAAAGGCTAACATAAAAGAAAATGGTGGGGGGAAGAGAAGAGAAAGCATGCACAGTTTTACCTTGGTTCTTGAGCACTCTCACCAAAGAGTAGATGCAACACAATCGTCACATACAAGTGATGTGTGCTGATACAGTTAAAAAAGATTAATTTGTACTGGAAGAAGTAGGAGTGCAATATGGTTTAAGAATTATTTCTGGATCCTGTATTAAAACACTTAAACAAGTCATGATTATAATATTTATTATGTCAACTTATCCTTGAAATGGGTGAGTTTGTAATTGTTCCATTGCTCTTTAAGGGACCAAACACTTAGAAGACCAGATATATGCTGAGATAAGGGGACGAATCAAGGAGGATGACATTTCTGCTCCAATACGCAGGGGGCCTTACCACTACTATGAAAGGACCTTGGAGGGAAAGGAATACATTCAGCATTGCCGCTGCCTAGTATCTGACAATGGGGCTCCACCCTCTATTTATGATGTTTTGCCAACTGGACCAGATGCTCCTCCTGAGCATGTTATACTCGATGAGAATGTAAAGGCTCAAGGGCATGCATTTTATAGCATTGGTGCTTTTAAAGTAAGAGCAACTTCTCTTTTGCATTCATTGTGTTCAAATATAGAACAACTTCTTTTTTGCATTCCTTGTGTTCAAATATTCTGGGTTTTCTGTTTCAATCAGTAGCTCCATTTTAATTCTTACTTTTCTGTCATTTCCTGTCATTTTTCTTAATCTCCAGGTTAGTCCAAATAATAAGTTGGTAGCATATGCAGAAGACACTAAAGGAGATGAGATCTACCATGTTTACGTCATTGATGCTGAGACTGGAACGTGTTTGGGGAAGCCTCTAGTTGGTGTAACATCAAATATTGAATGGGCTGGTGATGATGCTTTACTTTATGTTACAATGGATGCAACCCTTCGTCCAGAGAAGGTATGATTTTTCAATTTGAACTATGTTTGAGTGAACTCTGATTGCCTCACAACTGCTTGAGCCTTTCTCTCTTATCTTGCTTAATTATTTTATGAGATGTGGACTTGGCTTATAGTTGGTATCTGCTTCTCCCTCTTCCTTACGATTCTAATAGCCTAACTAGCAAGATCTAGCTCAATTGGTGTAATGTTGTTTTGCTAGGGCGATTGAGATCTTTTTTTCATACTCTTTGTTGCACCATTGAAGGTTTAATAGCTAATGCCTAGCTCATTGGTAACAATCAGCACAATCTCTAATCCTCTTCTTTTTTCAACAAGAAGAAATGAAAGGATCTCTATTCGTTCTATTTTGTCTTGTGAAGCACTTGAGAGCTAGAGACCCCTTTTATGACTTACATTTTCATTTCATAACGGTCCTTGTCTTGTATTTGAGTTATAAATATCCAGAAGTTCAGATATGTTGTTTTTTGGCTTGTTAATTTGTTTTGTGAAATTGTAAAGTCAAAGCTCTTCTGGAAACCTCAAGCAATCAACCAAGATTGACGATTCATCTTTAGGACTGTTGGTTGATGGGCATTGAGGAATTTGTTAATTTGCATGTCCTGGAGGTAACACATGGCACTCATTAAGCGCTTTTGCTACCATACCAGTTGTACACTCTATGTTAGTTAATTTTTATCACGAAGGTGATCAAGTAATTCATTTTCTTTTTAATGAACTTTATTTGTCATCCAGCTCAACCATGCATGTCGAGAAGCAATCCAAACACATAGGCAGCATCCCTAGCCACAAAGTGCCCCCAATGTTGAACATGCGAAGACCAAGGTTACATAATGGAAGGAAACCAACCCATCTAACACAAAAGCGACCATAGGCTACAATGTCGCTCATCACACAACCTGAGTATGACTTGCTGCTATAAAGGCATCTATGATAATAGCTCATTGAATTCTGATACCTTGAAACCAACTGCAAATGAAACTCAAGCCAATGCAACTTAAAAGCATCTCACTGAACCAAGAAACCAAACAACAGTCTTGTTATTGTCCTTACATTGTAGCACGCTACCCCTTCCCCCAAAGAGAGACCCATGCAATACTCTTCAACCAGAGGGGCAACTGTTAGGGGGCAACTCTTTTTTCACAGCAAGAGTTTCCATGTGAGGCGCTCAAACTCCTCTGTTTTCTGTAAATTAGTGCCACCTCTAGAATGAAAAACTCCATTATTCTCTGCACTTTCATCATTGCAGTCATAAATTTCAAATCTCCAAACTACTCTTGATCAAGTAAATTGGCCTTCTCTAGCCAAACTTGAGCTTTAACTCCAGATGAAATGATGATATTAGCCCTCTTTCTTCCACCCACCACCTACATTGAATCTTTAGGAAATACACCTTTATTGTTGGTAAGCTTTTCAACCCGTGCCATAGAGCTACTTCGGAAGAAGACATATCCATCTATTTACCATTACTTCTAGTATTGTGACCTTATATTTGTGTACTTTTAATTATAGTCACATGCAATTCCATGTACCACATTTCAGTTTTAGATTGTTGCAACTTATGTAATTCAACCAGGAAATAATGCTCTTTGTTTAGTTTACTTGCAAAAGGAGAAATTTTACTTTTGCTTACAAAATTTTCTAGGGTCCATTTGATTAGAAAGAAATAAATGGTGGAAAGTGAAAATGATAGAAAGTGAAGAGAAAGAAAAGAAAGGAAAAGAAAACATATTTTCTTATATGAATTTGATTAGGATGAAAATTTTACGAGGAAAAAGAGAGAAATTAAGAATTCTAATTATAAGTAACTACTTTTATAAACAAATTTAAAGTTTCTTGTATTTTTCTGTGTTTTCTGCAAGAAACAAAAAGCTCAATTGCCATGCTGTCATGGATTGTACAAGAAAATTAACTATCTTGTAACTTCCACCATTTTCATGCTAAACCTTCTCATAATTTTTTATTTTTATTTTTTTTCATTTCCCTCACTTTCCACCACTTCCATTCTAAGCAAACTTCGGCTAGAACTTTTCTAATTGGCATGTTTTTCTAATGGTTCTTTTACTATAAGTAGGTGTGGCTACATAACTTGGGGATGGAACAATCAAACGACTTGTGCCTTTATCATGAAAAAGATGACATGTTCTCTATCGGAGTTGAGGCTTCTGAGAGCAAGAAATTTTTGTTCATTGCATCTGAAAGTAAAACTACAACTTTTGTCTTCTATTTTGACATTTCAAAGCCTGAAAACGGGCTTATGCAATTGACACCTCGGCTAGATGGTATTGACACTTCAGTTAGCCATCGTGGAAATCATTTTTTCATCAAGAGGAGAAGTGATCAGTTTTTCAATTCAGAATTACTAGCATGCCCACTGGACAATATATCTGCAACCTCAGTTCTTCTCCCTCATCGGGAAAGGTAATATTAAATCTTTGCTTTCTTACAACTTGGTGGTAGCATAAAATTAGCTCTTATTTTGTTCGTATTATGGTGTAATCTTCACAGTTATAACTTACTAGTTACAACAATGATATTAACATAAAGGGTTTGAATTGAATATTGTGCACCCATACACAAAGTAACTTTTTTGTGCTAGCAAAAGACACAGTGGATACTTCTAATCCTAAGAAATGTGATCCAAATTAGTGGTTGATCTTAACTTGGTCAAGAAACTGCTATTCGAACATAAGGATAGCATAATGGGTGTCGCTGCTCAAAACTGTGTCAAAAGAAATATAAAACATTAATCTCTTGCTGCAAATGGTTTGTGTAGAAGAGTTAGATGTTTGTTTGGATTTTCTTATAGTGTGTACAGTTTGAGGTCGTGACCTAGAGCAATGACGAGTGCTTTCCATTCCCACTGCTTTGGTGTGGGGTCATTTTATAGGAATTAACCTCTTCACAAAAAGAGGATAAAACTCCTTCCTTCATTGGAACGGCATTTTTGAGTTAGAGGAAATTAGAAATGCAATATTTGAATGGGAGATGGATAAGTACAAGGACCAGATGGTTTTTCTATGATTGTATTTCAAGATTGATGGGATGTGGTTAAGCATGATTTTGTTGAAACCGAGACTTACTATATCCATGTGAATTATGTTATTTTTTTATTGGGGTGATCTCTGAAAAGATAGATTGCCCATCTCTTGGTGAATTTTTTGACATTGAATTGTGAATGCTTGCACAAATGCTACTTTTTATTTGTTTGATTCCCAAAAAGGAGAATTCCTTGAAGATTTGTATATTTCAACCAATTACTTTGATTACATCTTTGTAGCAAAACTTCTTTCAAGTAGATTTATAGTGGTTTTGAAGGATACAAGATCAGGGTGCCTTTGTGGAGGGGAGACAGATTTTGGATGTGGCTTTTATAGCTAGTGGGTTTGTGGAGTACAAAAGTACAAACAAAGAAGGAATTATCATTAAAGTAGATTTTGATAAAAGCATATGATCACTTGGAGTGGGATTTTTGGACTTTTACGTGAAAGGGTTTGATCTTAGGTGGAGGAATTGGATTAAGAGGTGTTTGTTTTCTATTAGCTTTTCAGCTATAATTATTGGCAAGGCTAGTGACACCTTTATGGCTTCTAGTGCGCTTAGGCAGGATGACCTTTGTCTCCATTTCTATTATCTCTAGTTGTTGACGTGTTAGTGGACAGTTTTGTGGTAGGGAGGGATGAGATCTCTATGTCTCACTTACAAATTGTAGATGATATTTGCTTTCGGTTTTGAAGGTTTTTGAGTTGATTTTTGGGTTAAGAGTAAATTTGAGTAATAGTGCATTAGTGAGATCAATGATATTTGTGTACTTTTAATTATAGTCACATGCAATTCCATGTACCAAATTTCAGTTTTAGATTGTTGCAACTTATGTAATTCAACCAGGAAATAATGCTCTTTGTTTAGTTTACTTGCAAAAGGAGAAATTTCACTTTTGCTTACGAAATTTTCTAAGGGTCCGTTTGATTAGAAAGAAATAAATGGTGGAAAGTGAAAATGATAGAAAGTGAAGAGAAAGAAAAGAAAGGAAAAGAAAACATATTTTCTTATATGAATTTGATTAGGATGAAAATTTTACGAGGAAAAAGAGAGAAATTAAGAATTCTAATTATAAGTAACTACTTTTATAAACAAATTTAAAGTTTCTTGTATTTTTCTGTGTTTTCTGCAAGAAACAAAAAGCTCAATTGCCATGCTGTCATGGATTGTACAAGAAAATTAACTATCTTGTAACTTCCACCATTTTCATGCTAAACCTTCTCATAATTTTTTATTTTTATTTTTTTTCATTTCCCTCACTTTCCACCACTTCCATTCTAAGCAAACTTCGGCTAGAACTTTTCTAATTGGCATGTTTTTCTAATGGTTCTTTTACTATAAGTAGGTGTGGCTACATAACTTGGGGATGGAACAATCAAACGACTTGTGCCTTTATCATGAAAAAGATGACATGTTCTCTATCGGAGTTGAGGCTTCTGAGAGCAAGAAATTTTTGTTCATTGCATCTGAAAGTAAAACTACAACTTTTGTCTTCTATTTTGACATTTCAAAGCCTGAAAACGGGCTTATGCAATTGACACCTCGGCTAGATGGTATTGACACTTCAGTTAGCCATCGTGGAAATCATTTTTTCATCAAGAGGAGAAGTGATCAGTTTTTCAATTCAGAATTACTAGCATGCCCACTGGACAATATATCTGCAACCTCAGTTCTTCTCCCTCATCGGGAAAGGTAATATTAAATCTTTGCTTTCTTACAACTTGGTGGTAGCATTAAATTAGCTCTTATTTTGATCGTATTATAGTGTAATCTTCACAGTTATAACTTTACTAGTTACAACAATGATATCAACATGAAGGGTTTGAATTGAATATTGTGCACCCATACACAAAGTAACTTTTTTGTGCTAGCAAAAGACACAGTGGATACTTCTAATCCTAAGAAATGTGATCCAAATTAGTGGTCGATCTTAACTTGGTCAAGTAACTGCTCTTCGAACATGAGGATAGCATAGTGGGTGTCGCTGCTCAAAACTGTGTCAAAAGAAATATAAAACATTAATCTCTTGCAGCAAATGGTTTGTGTAGAAGAGTTAGATGTTTGTTTGGATTTTCTTATAGTGTATACAGTTTGAGGTCGTGACCTAGAGCAATGACGAGTGCTTTCCATTCCCAATGCTTTGGCGTGGGGTCATTTTATAGGAATTAACCTCTTCACAAAAAGAGGATAAAACTCCTTCCTTCGTTGGAACGGCATTTTTGAGTTAAGAGGAAATTAGAAATGCAATATTTGAATGGGAGATGGATAAGTACAAGGACCGGATGGTTTTTCTATGATTGTATTTCAAAATTGATGGGATGTGGTTAAGCATGATTTTGTTGAAACCGAGACTTACTATATCCATGTGAATTATGTTATTTTTTTATTGGGGCGATCTCTGAAAAGATAGATTGCCCATCTCTTGGTGAATTTTTTGAAATTGAATTGTGAATGCTTGCACAAACGCTACTTTTTATTTGTTTGATCCCCAAAAAGGAGAATTCCTTGAAGATTTGTATTTTTCAACCAATTACTTTGATTACATCTTTGTACAAGATCTTAGCAAAACTTCTTTCAAGTAGATTTATAGTGGTTTTGAAGGATACAAGATCAGGGTGCCTTTGTGGAGGGGAGACAGATTTTGGATGTGGCTTTCATAGCTAGTGGGTTTGTGGAGTCCAAAAGTACAAACAAAGAAGGAATTATCATTAAAGTAGATTTTGATAAAAGCATATGATCACTTGGAGTGGGATTTTTTGGACTTTTACGTGAAAGGGTTTTGATCTTAGATGGAGGAATTGGATTAAGAGGTGTTTGTTTTCTTTTAGCTTTTCAGCTATAATTATTGGCAAGGCTAGTGACACCTTTATGGCTTCTAGTGTGCTTAGGCAGGATGACCTTTGTCTCCATTTCTATTATCTCTAGTTGTTGACGTGTTAGTGGACAGTTTTGTGGTAGGGAGGGATGAGATCTCTATGTCTCACTTACAAATTGCAGATGATATTTGCTTTCGGTTTTGAAGGTTTTTGAGTTGATTTTTGGGTTAAGAGTAAATTTGAGTAATAGTGCATTAGTGAGATCAATGTCCTGCAAGTTAGATTTTAAGGGTTGGTAGGACTTTTGGGATGTCCATTAAATCATTGCCTTTGAAGTACCTAAATCTTCATTTGGGGGGTAGTCTAGGTCTTAAACATTTTGAGCTCCAGTAGTAGAGGAAATTGATGGAAGGTTAGAATGAATGGAAGAGGGGGCGATTTACTTTGGTCCAATTTGTTTATCTAGTGTGCCTATTTATTGTTTATCTTTGTTTAAAATTCTTACAGAAGATTAATGGAGAAGTAGTTTCTTTACTAAAAAGCAAAGGGGGTCATAATATTTTTGCTCAGTATATTTGCTTGGAAAGTGGTTATGGAAATTTCCCATTGAACGTGATCTATGAAGCGTGGGTACTTCAAAAAACAAGCCGTACCCGTACCGGGTATTTACCGGCGTATGGTACCTCGTATGGTACTTCTTCATATGTACCAGGTACACGAAACACGTATCCAAATTTTTTCTTCTTAATTTTTGACGTACCCAGACATACCTACTATATACTTAAGCCGTACTGTACTTCAGTTGAAATAGTATTTTCTTCTACTATAGAGATAAAACCCCTTTAACTAGACTTCTTTTTTATTTTTAATTTTATACTTAGCATGTTTTTAAAATTAAACTATGGTTTGTAAAATATATTGACATTTAATTTTGATATATACATTTACTTTTGGCATTAAATGTTAATTATAGGTTAAATCTTAACAAATTAAACCATTTAATTAATTTTACATTACTATAAATTAAAAATAAATATTTTTTTACAAGCGTACCAAGCCGTACTTGTACCCTACTTTTTTTGAATTTACCGTATCGACGTACCCATATCGTACCAGTACCAGAACTCGTACCCGTACCCGTGCTTCATAGAACGTGATTCTTTATGAAATTATGTTGTTAAAAGTAAGCATGGAAAGTAGTATAACCATTACTGATAAAAGTGAAGGATGGATTAAAGGATGATTTTCTGATTTCGTGATTAATCGGTTGCTTATTTATTTGACAATTGTGCTTCCATTGAAACAAGTCATGCTGATTTTTGGTTTGTATTAAGTTCATTGCTATCTCAAAACATTTAGATGTCTTTCGCTTTGACAAGTTGTCCAGCTTTTTGTTAGCTTTCATGTTCTATTGGTGGAGAATTGGGAATGTATTCATGATGTTGTGCTTCTAATTTTCCATCTTTGAAAGTGTGACTTAGGATCGACAGTTTTATGACCATGTATATAATGTATAGAATGAAAACTCATTGAAGACATATTGAAAGCGCATACACGAGCTCAAAGACACTAAAAGTTCAAATACAAAGAAGCCAAGAGATAATCATGAAGAAATGTCTTCACCAACATGATAAGGCTTAGTATGGACGGCAAGATTCTTGAGGGGGGAATGGGAATGAGATTCCAGGTTGTCATGGTTCAACTGTTTGAAATGGATTGGATTGGGAACGTGATCCCTGATTACCTACTCAAGCTGGAATCACTTTTCCAAACTAAGCAGGAATCTGATTCTCACACTATGTTAAGATCACATTTATGGAGGAATGTGAACCATTTAAGCGTAAAAAGTCCTATAATTTTTTAAATTTCATCATTTTCCCATAGAGAATTCCTAAGTAAGCCAAATACTTGAACAATGTAGTAGTAATAGGATTCCTGGTAATGAGATTCTTAGTTGTTCCGTTTGATTCCTGTCATTCCAAACAGTCAAAACTGTTTAGCGGGAGATATATTTGAGGCTATATTGTCAGAAGTGAACATTTATCAAGAGAGTGTTGAATTAGCCCACTCATTCACATAAGCTTGGAATCAAGGAGCTAGTTTGAAAAAGCAAAATATACAATATTTAGACACATGTTACTATGCACATTTGTGTTGGACTTGGTATTGAATAGGTTGACAATAAGTTTTGGTAAACTTGATGTAGTTGTTTGATTGTGATAAGTTGTGGTTGTAGATTAAGGTCTCGTTTGGGAACATGTTTTTTTAGTAACTTTTTGGCTTTTTGGCTAAAATGTGATGTAAAAAACACTAGTATGTTTGGGATGATTTTTTGATTTTTTACGAAAAGATGTGCAAAAAGTAGAGAGAAAAGGAAATCTTTGACTTTTTGGTATGGGTTGTTAGCTTTTTGATTTTTTTAGTAACTTTTTAGCTTTTTGGCTAAAAAAGCCACTTGCCAAACGAGGCCTAAGGGTGAGGCTAGGAAACCTATTTTTAAAGGATTTGAAAGGTTGTGGATGACCTTCTAAGTTGTAACACCTGATGTTGAGATAGTGAAGTTTTGTAGGATTGCCTAGGTACAAAACCTGCAGAATTTCTATTAGGAGGTCCTAGTAGGTTAGGTTGGTAGATTACCTAGGTAGGAAATTCTATAGGATTGAACTTTTGTGTCAATCTATTGAAAACCGTCTGTAGTGGGAAAATGAAATACGTAAATCTGACGGGAGTCTGTGTATGTAGGCATGAGTGTTATGCCGAACCACTCTAAATCATGTGTTCATCTCGCTTTAATGTTTGGCACTTTAAACTTACATTTGAATTTTGAATTGATGAGATGAGTGTGAACTTGTGTTGTGCCTCCATTTTATATTACTCAATTATGTTCATGAAAGAAGAGTTGAGGATTGTGTAAACTATGTATAATCAATTTGTTCCAAAGCAAATACCATTGAATTGTGTATGTGAATGAGTAGTTGAGTTTATACTAATTGATTACTAGAATTGATCGATTAAAAAATTGAAATTAGTTGTGAACTCACAAACCCTCTCTAATTGGTCGTCGAAGATAAGTTAAATTGTTTTAGGGGTTTAGGGTTTTATTAAACATATGAATACTTGAAATATATCTAAAAAGATTTGAAAGAGACAATACTGACATGCCAAATTGGGTTAGAGGACTTAAAACTAGACAATGTCTTAAAAATAAGGGACAATTACAAAATAACTCCCAAAGTTTGATCCTTATAACAAAATAAACCCCGAACTTTTAATTTTGTCAATTTAATCTCTAAACTTTTGATTTGTTTTCAGTCTAAACCATTTGCCTATTTTCCTTATGTAAAATTGACCGAAAAGGGTATTTTAGTCATTAAATTCAATGAAAATGGTATTTTAGACATTTTATGTATACCTACATTGAGTTTAATGACTTAAATACTATTTTTTCATCGGTTTTACTTAATGAAAATAGATGGATGGTTTAGATTGAAAACAAATCAAAAGATTAGGGTTTAAATTCACAAAATTGAAAACTCAGGGTTTATTTTGTTAAAAGGCTCAAATCTTGAGAGCTTTTTTTTTTTTTTTTTTTTGTGGTAATTATCCCTAAAAATAATGATTGTCCTGTTCAATCCCGTTTAGGACACTTTCAGTATGTACTTGATCACTGACACAGAAAGGTTTAGATACTGACTACCCAAAGTAGTACTGGCTACTGAGTGCTGACTACTTGTCTTCTCTGTTTACCCCCAGAAAAAGAATTTTGCATTGAGGCATTCCGCTATAGATGACTACGAACTTGTGAGAAGAAAGTTTAGTATCTGAAAATCTACGAAACTTCTAAATATTAAGCTGTAATGCTATGCTGATCAGATAGTGATATTGAGAGCTTGTCATGAATAATGATTGCATGATGTGCTTGTCTTTTTTATTTCTAAAAAGCCAAACTTCATCCTATGTCTGTTAGCAGGTACAACTTGATGATCTATGAGACATGGACACAAACACGGACACGGGACACGACATGGACACGTGGACATACAAATTTTTAAAAAATGAGGGACACGAGATGCTCAATATATATAATTTTTATATATTTATTATATGTAAAATTAAAAAAAAATATTATTTATTTATTTACTTTAATATCAAATATCATTTTCAATTTTTTTCAACAAATAAAAATAATTTATTCTGTATGTTAATGTTTAGCAAACAAGAATATTAAAAAATATAGAGAAAAATAAAGTTCTTTATTTTTTATTTTTTATTTTTTTTATTACTAAAAACAAAAAAGGTAAAAAAAGAAAAAGAAATAAAGAATAAAAGAGGGAGAGAGACAGTAACATGAAGAGGGGGAGAGAGAGAGAGTCGAACAAAAAAGGAGAGAGAGCAAACAAGAGAGACGAACACAGAGAGAGAGAGAGAGAGATGGAAGAAACGAAGAATAGAGCACTAAATAGAGGGAGAGAGAGTCGAGGAAGATGAATAGGTTCGATGATGAACATAGAGCACCGAACAGAGGGAGAGAGAGAGAGTCGAACACACAGATTGGAAGAACATACCTTGATCTAGCCTCCTCGTTCTAGGTCTTCAACAGGTTCTTCCCCTTTCTCTTTGTCTTTCTCTCTCTCTGTCTCTCTGTCTCTCTCTCTGTCTTTAATGGGTTAGGGTTTCTCTCTGTCTCCTAAGTTAGGGTTTCCCTCTATTTTCAATGTGTCCATAACGTGTCAAGAGTGTCCAGTTGCGAATTTTTTTTTTAAAAAAAAGGAGACACGTTAGGTAGAGTGTCCGACATGTGTTCACCGCGTGTCTGACTCGTGTCCGTGTCCGTGTCCGTGTCCGATATGTGTTCGTGCTTCATAGTAGATGATTGTAACCATCCTAAATGTATGATCTTGAGGTAATTATATCTGGTGAAACACCATCCATGTTTTAATCCAAAATAATATTATTTTTCAGCCCCAAATTTCATTCATTAATTATTATCTTGCCTTTACAATTGAAGCTACTAAAAGTACATTGTGTAGTCCTATAAAAGAATTGCCATATGAAATGATATACTTTGTTACACAAATTTTCTTTTTTTGTGTTCTTGTCAAACTTTTGTAGTGGTACAATGAAAATAATATTAGGAATGAAAAATAAAACCTGAGATGGGATGACAATGAAAATATCAATACACTAATTGAGCCTAAGTTGCAACTTGCTCGCTATAAACTCCAGGCAACACAGCATAATCACTTGATGAGAAAGTCAGATATATCAAGAAGAAAATTTGGAGAGTGTTTTCCCTCCCTTAATTTTCTATTAAATCTTGTACTTATTTTATTCAATTCTGATTGTCACTATGTTAAGGTTATGGTTTCAAGTCTTGGGGCCACCACTTTGTGCATTATGCTAAAGGTTAGGTGTGTACTCAATCTTTCCCCTCCCAAACACACATTAATGTGTACTGTTAGAATTTACCATCACCTACCACCAATTTACCATCACCTACCACCACCTACTCCTCACCTACTTCTCACCTACTACACTCACCCTCTCCTATATAATGAGCCACTCACCATTTGTAATACAACACAACAACATATATCAATCAATAATACATAAAATAATACATAAATTCTTAAATGTACTAATTGGGCGTTGCTTTTTTTTGATTGTCACTATGTTAAGGCATTTTTTTTGTATTTTTTGTTTCTGTCTTCATGCTAATCAGGGGCTTCCTATTATTAGAGCTAATTAGCTAAATATAATCGGTCATCTACCATCAGTTTTTGTGGTTCCAATCCCTATCACACCCACAGAGCAAGAGAAGGAAATGATTATAGCACTACCCCTGTATGGAGTTTCCCAGAATTCATTGGTTAATTCTAAAATTTAATGTGTGACATGGTCATTCCGCAAATTGATCTGATGACTTTGCATATCTGTGGTAGATGTTATGTTAAATTCTTCCCTGTCAGCATTCCATGTACTTCTCTTGCTGTGGCATTTCAGAGCTTAACTTGTTTTACTTTTTGTCCAGTGTAAAGATTCAGGACATACAACTTTTTGATGATCATCTTGTCGTATATGAGCGTGAAAAGGGCCTTCCCAAAGTAACTATATATGGCCTTCCACCCATTGGAGAACCACTTGAAAGGCTTCAAGGTGGTCGGGCTGTTGACTTTATTGATCCTGTTTATTCAGTGGATCCATCAGAATCACAATTTTCTTCCAGCATTTTAAGATTTTTTTATAGCTCATTGAGGACACCGCACTCCGTTTATGATTACGATATGAACACAGGGGTTTCGGTACTGAAGAAGATTGAAACAGTAAGTCAACTGATGAGTGATTGTCAAACTTTTAGCGGGTTAAATTGGATTTCAAATTACATGTCTACCTTGTAGGTCATATCATATTTAGCTTAATCAATGTGATTACTCTCTGCTCGTTGTTAATGGATATAATTTTTCACATTTCTGTATTTATTCATTAGTGAGTGTGCTGACTGCTTTTCTTAATGTTGTTTCTTATATACTTTCATAGATTGTTTAACTCAAAACATTTGAAACTATATTAGGATGACACTATTCTTTCATTCCATGTTTCCAAAAGAATGGAGGTATTGCATGATGTAACTGTACTGTGATGCTTGACTCCTTTTTATTTTTCATAATCCAAAGTGTTAGGTCCTTGATTGGCAATCCCGACCGACAAGCACATTTCAGCTGTATATTTTCTTTTTTCATGTTTTGGTTCGAGTGTTTGAGAGCTTAGAGTTTGAGTCCTATCCTAATATTCTTTTGAGTCAAATTTGCATACAATTACTTTCTATTTCTAATTTCTTTATTTTTTTTATTATTAAATTTTAATATGAAAATGATTGTAGAAATTTAATGTATAAAGAAAAATAGAGAATTGTATTATTGATTGATATAATGCTATATTTATTACAATGATTCATGATTCCTATATATAGAAGAGGGTGAGTGTGTAGTAGGTAAGGAGTAGGTGAAGTGGAGGTGGTAGTGGTGTAGTGGGTTAGGTTTAGTGGAGTAGGTGAGGTGGTAGTGGTGTAGTGGGTTAGGTTTAGTGGAGTAGGTTTAAGTGGGTGAAGTAGGTGATAGGTTTTAACAATGATCTAGGTGAATAATAATGCTAATGGGCAATATTGTCCATTAGAAGCTACTTGAGATGTTTGAAATGTTTGTCACCAAGCGTGTAAAAACATTTCCTCATGTCAAAATATTTCCAAAATGAACATTCACCAAACAAAATTGCATCCTCTTGTAAGTCCTTACAAAAGGACTTTCAACTATAAAAAGCTGTGCCAAACAGGTTCAAGATCTATTCAAAGCAAACTTAAAGACCTTCAACAATATTGTGCTCTCTTATAAAATCTGCAAAAGAGAAAGATGATTCAAAAACTTAGCTGTAAGCCAAAAATGAAAGGAATAAATTAACGCAACTCAGCACCATGTCATCAAAAGTATGCCACTTATCCCTCCATATACGCATCAAACACAAAGGCACTGCTTTCTAACCGTTTTTCACCCTCTTTACATGGTTAGAATTGAATGACTGATCTGACATGACCCAAGAGATACCAAGCACAAAGAATAATGTGCTCGCTAACTCTGTTCCTGCATCATGGTGAAGCAAAAAGTGATTCATGAACTCTTTCACCTTACAACAGATGTAAGATCAGTCACGGAGCATTTTCCCCCTTTTCTCTAAGTTTTAAGAATAGAATCGAGAGCTGCATTCCAAATGAAGAAAGAGAACTTGGTAGGGACACCCACCTTCCAAAATACTCTTCCAAAGGAGAGGGCTATCTGCCCCACCTTGCAAAAAATGATGAGAAGATTTGGCTGAGAATCTCCTACCATTGGCTTGTTGTAAAATGATGTCCTCGCGATACAGCAACCTCTGTCCCTTATAAGAGCTCAAATAATTCATTTTGCACTGATACATCTTAAGTAGTTTTTTCTGCTAAATTTACCACCTGGCATAAGGTTTTTGCTAACACCTAGTATATTCCCAAAATTTATATTTGTGAGATTCATGGAATTTTTCTTTTTTTCTAGTATATTTTAAGGCCGGTGTGGGATATTACTTTGTGGCACACTGGCAGCAACACTGTCTCAAACTGTTTAATTTTCTTTTTTGTTCCCATTTGTGTATTTGGGATATTGTGGCTGTTACATTGTCTCTCAAGTGTTTAATTTCCTTTTTGTTTCCCATTAAGTGTATTTGATCTTCCATCAAAGCTACTTTTTGTCTGTTTGGTTATGGAAATGTGTTGAAATTTTGGGGAATGTTAGATTTATTTTGTACTTTCTTTTAACTTTTAATGATGTATGTACTTTGGCGCAAGTGGTTCATCTTGGATTTTTTTTTTTTTTTTGAAGATTTTTACATTTTGATTTTCCTCTTTATTTATTTTTAAAGTTTCTGCATAGCATGTCCGTGCGCATATTTTACATTCTGCAATAAGCAGATAGATTAAAGATTGTGACTTTTTTGTGTGCGACAAATATTACTTCTTTCCTGGTTAAGAAATTTCACTGTTGCCATTAAATTCTTTTGTAAGTGAAATATGAAGATTATGAATCTCACGTGTAATAGTTTCTATACTGTTTGACTAGGTCTTGGGAGGTTTTGATGCCTTAAATTATGTAACTGAAAGGCAATGGGCCACTGCTCCAGATGGAACTCAAATCCCTATATCAATTGTTTATCAAAGAAATATTGTGAAGCTTGATGGGTCTGATCTGTTACTACTTTATGGTTATGGTTCCTATGAGGTAATACCTGATTTATTGTTCAAATTACTGTCATATATTCAGGCAGGAATTTTATTCTGTTAAGAGACTACATTTTTTAGAAATGGGAAAACTTATGGTCTTATGTCTGATGCCTATGTTTTTGAAAAAATAAAATTTAGGCTTCTTTGCTATAATGTTCTGGTTTGCATTATGGTGCCCATTTGGATTTTGAAGTTCTGCTCTGTATTATTGCTTCATCTAATGGCTGCTTATAACTATGAAATATACTATTCATTAACGAATTTTCTTCTCACCTTCTGTTCTTCAGCATCATTATTGTCTTAAAAGGAAATATTGTACAAATTTTGAACATTCACATTTCTTTAACTTTCTAGTTTCCATGCTTTCTTTGCTAGTCGTAATTCACACAATCAGTTTGGTTATTCACAATCACGAAATCAATAGCACCTGTCCAGTGATTATTTTCTAAAACTAAGAGTTTGTATTTAAATGGATTTTTGAGTAATCTTAAAAAGTATATCCAGTTTAGTCCAGCCTGGGAGGGGTAATACCCATAAACTACTGCACAAGCAAATGTGGAGGCAGAGTTCCTGGTCCATTATTCTTTGCAAATGAAATGATGCTTCTTGTCCTGCTTTTATTTCAAGATTTTCATTCTAACTTTTACTTGGTGGATGCTGCAAATGGCGTGTTTTCAACAGTATTGTCTGGATCCTGGTTTCAAGGCATCAAGACTGTCTTTGTTGGACCGGGGTTTTATTTATGCAATTGCTCACATTCGTGGGGGTGGTGAAATGGGGAGGCAGTGGTATGAAGACGGAAAACTGTTGAAGAAGCAAAATACTTTCACAGATTTTATTGCTTGTGCAGAATATCTCATAGAGAAAAGGTACTGTGCAAAAGAAAACTTGTGTATTGAAGGAAGAAGTGCAGGGGGATTGCTTGTTGGTGCTGCTCTTAACATGCGGCCTGATTTATTCAAGGTTGCTGTAGCTGGAGTACCCTTTGTGGATGTTTTGACAACAATGCTTGATCCGACTATTCCTCTTACGACGTCAGAGTGGGAGGTCTGCTCTTTCCATTTTGTAGATTATCAACTCTTAAACCTTAATATCCTTTAGTAACTGTTAGTGGCATTACATTTACTGGAATTTGATCTTCAATTTGGAAGATTGGTCCTGGAGATTGATTCTAAAAGGTGATTATCATATGATAATATCTTTTGTCTATCATCTCTCCAATTCTATTGGCTACATGGAATTAATCTGACCAGATAGTTATGGGCTAATGTCTGTTATTTAAAGCAAAAAGCAAACCGAGGTGACGAGGCCTCTTGAGGCCTAAGCACAAGGCAATGGGGTGAGGGGATGGCTTCATCAAAAGAGGCGAATGCTAAGGAATTTAAAATAAAAAAAATATCCATAAAAAATATAAACTATCCAACCAAATCCAACAATCCAAATTCCGATATCCATTGAAATCTCAAGACCTAACAAACACTAATAACATTTTAACATTTTGAAATATAAAAATGTGATAACCAATCATTTAGTTCTATAGTTTCACCAATCCTAAGGTCCTAAAAATCATCAACACTTTCACCCTAATACATACAGACACATACGTAGACAAAGGCAGACGTAGTCATAGACACTGACATGTGATACGACACGAATACACCGGCATGACAATATTAAAAAAATGTAAGACATGACGTGTGAGACACGCATGAAATATAGTTTTATATGTTTATTATATATCATATATATTCAAATTGGTCATTGTTTCTAGTACTTCTTGTTCATTAAGTAGGTATTCAATTTTCTTTTGCCGCATGTCATAATTGGTCTTATCTAGGCTTTTTTCCCCCTTTTTTGGGTCATTAGATTCTAAGTTATTTTATTGAAACTTGTAGTGTGTTTGATGTGTGTCTGAAGACTCCAAACAATGTCTTGTAATGCGTTTGTTACATGTTTTCCAATTTTTTGAAGCATCTCTGAGTGAAGAAAATTTTAAACCTAAGTAGCACAAATACGAACACGTGATACGATATAGACACGGCACCGACATGCCAACACATCGATTTTAAAAAAATGTAGGATATGACGTGCTAGGGACACATTAAAATTTTATATTTTTATATATCTATTATATGTTATATATATGAATAATTTATTCAAAGATAATAAGAAAATGTAAGACAACACAAAATTTACATTTAAAAGCTATATATTACATAACTTAAACACCAAGATATCATTTACATAGCAATTACATTCTAAACAATGCAAAACAATTATATAACATTGTATTATAAAAGTTTCGAAACATATATAGGATACATTACTTGTGTTATGAAGAATGGACAATATTGTTATAATGAAGGGATTCATCATATAGGACGTATTTGGAGAGTTTTCAGGAAGTGTCACCAAAGTGTCCGCAAAATGTCGCTAAAGTGTCCAATGAGAATATTGAAGAAGTGTCGGACACACTTTTAGGAGTGTCCAAAGAGTGTTGTGTCGGACATGGGTGTCGGACGAGACATGCTTCCTTCATAGAAGTGTCCGTACTTCTTAGTTTTAAACCTTAGTGGAACATGTTTGGATGTGTGCCTACTGAGTGTCGAGAAGTGTCTGATGAGTGTCATCTTGTGTTTGGTGTTTGACATGCAATGCCACCTTGGAAGAGTGTGCGCGCCATAGTTTAGGGGAGTGGAACCAGAGGACTTTTGACGGAAAGGAAGTACAGCTTTTTAAATTGAAAAGTAGATTCTTATCCCCTTTCAACGGTTGGTTCTTAGGCATTATAGATCCATCCTTGAACTAACTTTTGGACATTTTGGAGATTTTTTAGTAAAGTTTTACATATAAGATGTTTAGGAGTTTTGTTGTACCTGCTTTATAATGTTTATGGGTGGCACCCACTTTGTGCATTTGATAATATTTTGATTAAAAGAACAAAGGATTAAATACCTGCTGTAAGGGATATGGACAGACAACTTCACGTAATGATTCTTTGTTCATCGTCAATTTTCCTATTTTATATATGCATGAATTACTGATTCTTTGATAGATCTCTCGGTTGGAAATCCTTTCATATATGCACATCTACTTTGGTGGATCTATCCCTTAATTGGTCCCACTTGTTCCCTTGGGCTAAAAGAGTAGTAAACGTTTATATGTAGAAGACAAAATTGGATAAAAAAATTGGACAAGTGGCTTGGTGATGTTATCTAGTGATGTGATTGGGTGGTTTAAACCAGAGTCCAACCCAACTAAAAGGCATATTTAGGAAAAGTTTACTTAATGGCCAGACCCAAGATTGGGCTGCGTTCGGTGAATACTTCGGCACTCAATCCAAGCTGAACCTGGTTCACTGTACTTTTTTTGGTTTGTTTCTCTTGTTGATTATTATACACATTTTTTGTGCAACACATTGTATTTACATATCTAAAGTACAAAATTTATAGAATTTAGTGTTACATTTTATTCTACTATTTTTTAGCAGTTATGACAAATGTAAAAGGACATATCTCATCAATTTTAGAAGACTCTTTATTTCGTGTAATTATAATGCTGGTACCTAACTTTTTTTTTATTATTATTCTTGTGTATTCGACATTTGTTGTATTTTTCAAAGGGTAAAGATATTTACTGGGTTATTGTGGTGAAGGAGGGGGAAGAGGTAGGGGGGTTTTCTTTGTCTTGTTTATTTAGATGTGTGGAGGATGGTTTTCAGTGGGTGTTCATTGGAGTGTATGGGCCGGTGAGGGGGAGAGAGAGATGCTTTTTGGAAGGAATTGCAGGATGCTACATTTCGGTGGGGGCCTCCCTTGGTGTGTTGGGGGTGATTTTAATGTGGTAAGGAGTCTGGAGGAGAAGCTTAGTGCGAGCTCGGTGGTGGGGCCTATGAGGGCTTTCTTTGTGCTTATTAATACGATGGGGCTGCTTGATTTGCCGGTGCATGGTGGGGACTTTACTTGGTTTGGAGGTCGGCTTATGTCTCTGATTGATCGATTTTTGGTATCTGGGGATTGAGAGGAGCATTTTTGTCAGTCGATTTAGTTGAGGTTGCAGCGTCTGATCTCTGATCACTGGCTAGTGTTGTTAGATAGCGGGGGAGCTCGGGGTGGTCCTTTGCTTTTTCGGTTCGAGAATATGTGGTTAGGAGCAGAGGGGTTCCCAGAGATGGTGGGTGGATGGTGGAGGAGCTATAGGGTGGTCGGGATGCCTAGCTGTAGATTGGCCCAGAAATTGAAATTCCTTAAGGCTAATATGAAGAGATGGAATGTAGAGGTGTTTCACCATTTGGAGGTTTAGAAGGTGAATATCTTAGTAGTCTTGCAGGGGCTGGATGAGAAGGAAACTGAGGGGAGTTTCTCTGCGGAGGATGTGATTTGCTGGGAGGGGGCTAGGAAAGAGTATGCGCAGGTTGCCTGGATAGAGGAAATCAGTTATCGTCAAAGATCTAGATGTTTATGGCTGAAAGATGGGGACCGCAATACCAAATTTTCTCATCGAATGGCAAATGCTCATTGGCGGGCAAATAAAATAGGGAAGGTGCGGGTGAATGGGGTGTTGTTCTCTTTAGAAGAGAAGGTTAAGACTGGTATAGTGGGTTTTTATCAGCATCTTTATCAGGATGAGGGAGAGGTGTGGAGGCCGACTTTCGATGGTGTTGGATTTGCTTCTATATCCCAGGTGGATGGCATGTGCTAGAGAGTCTATTTACTGAGGAGGAGGTGTTGGACGCATTGAGGAGTATGCCGAGTGATAAGGTGCCAGGACCAGATGGTTTTTCTATTGTTTTTTTACAGCATTATTGGGGGGTGGTGAAGGGGGAGGTGATGGCTACGTTTGAGCAATTCTATCAAACGGGGCAGTTTGAGAAGAGTCTTAATGCCACTTTCGTAACATTGATCCTTAAGAAGAGGGGGGTGGAGGATATTTGAGATTTTTGGCCGATTAGTCTGTTAGGCAATGTTTATAAGTTATTAGCTAAAGTCCTGGCTAATAGACTTTGTGCTGTTTTGGAGGGGGTGGTGTCAAAGTCGCGGAATGCTTTTGTGGGTGGTCGTCGGATTCTGGATGCTGTGCTAGTGGCCAATGAGTGTGTGGATTCACGGCTTAGTCAAAGGAAAGGGGTTATCATTTGTAAACTGAGTATTGAGAAGGCATATGATAATGTAAATTGGAAGTTTTTGGAGAAAAGTGGAGGAAATGGACGCAATTTTGCATCTCCACTGTGTGGATATCGGTCTTGGTGAATTGGACGCCGGCGGGTTTCTTTCCTACTTGGAGAGGTTTACGGCAAGGTGAGCCTTTGTCTCCTTTATTGTTCATCCTAGTTATGGAGGCCTTGAGTCGTCTAATTTCCAGAGCGGTCCAAGGTGGTTTGTTATCAGGGTTTGAGGTGGGGAGTGGGTCTGCCTCTCTGTTGGTTTCTGATCTTTTCTGTGTTGTTGATGCGTTGATTTTATGTGAGGCGGATGTGGATCAGATTGGTTATTTGAGATGTGTGTTATTGTGTTTTGAGACAGTGTCGAGGCTTCGGGTTAATTTGGCAAAGTTAGAATTGATTCCGGTGGGTGAGTTGGCGCACGTTCCAGTGTTGGTAGCTGTGTTGGGGTGCAAGGTGTCCACGTTGCCGGTTTTCTATTTGGGTCTTCCGTTGGGGGCTTTTTTTAAGGAGACTAAGGTATGGAATGGGGTGGTGGATCGTGTTCAAAGGCAGTTGGCGGGGTGGAAGCGTCAATACTTGTCCAAAGGTGGGTGGCTCACTTTGATCAAAAGTGTCCTATCGAGTATTCCGACGTATTTCATGTATGTGCATGTGATTCCAACAGGGGTGGCTAGGAGGTTGGAGAAGCTACAAAGGGATTTCTTATGGGATGGTGGAGGGGAGGGTTTTCATTATCATTTTGTGTCTTGGGCGAGGATTTGTACTCCTAAGGAAAGGGGGGGCCTCGGGGTGAGGTGGTTGGCTGTGTTCAATCGAGCTCTTTTGGGGAAGTGGTTGTGGCGTTTTGTGGTAGAAAGGGATCGCTTGTGGAGGAGGTTGGTGGTGGCCAAGTATGGGATGGTTAGAGGGGGGTGGTGTTCAAATAGGGTGAGTCAATCATATGGGTGTATGTTAGAATTTCCCATCTTTACCTTCACCTACTCCACTACACACTCCACTTCACCTACCTCCACTTCACCACACACTCCACTTCACCTAACCCACTATCACCTCCACTACACCTACTACCACATTTTCTTCTATAACACACCTACTCCACTACACACTCCACTTCACCTACCTCCACTTCACCACACACTCCACTTCACCTAACCCACTATCACCTACACCTACTACCACATTTACTTCTATATATAGATTGTATAGGAATTGTAATAAATCAATCTTGTAATACATCAATACATCAATCAATCTTTACCTTCACTTACTCCACTACACACTCCACTTCACCTACCTCCACTTCACCACACACTCCACTTCACCTAACCCACTATCACCTCCACTACACCTACTACCACATTTTCTTCTATATATAGATTGTATGGGTGTAGTTTGTGGAAGGGGATTTGGTTGGGGAGGAAGGCCTTTTGGTATAGGGTTCGATTCAAAGTGGGGGTTGGGGATCGGGTTCGCTTTTGGGAAGATATGTGGTGTGGCGAGTTGTCTTTGGCTGCCATGTTTCCACTGATTTTTGCTATTGCCGTTGATGTGGAGGAGTTGGTTGCTTCGGTTCGGGTGCGGCAAGGGCATTCATATACGTGGAATCTTCTTCTTCGTCGTAATGTGCAAGATTGAGAGTTGGACCAATTGGTGGGTTTGTTGGGTTTTATGTATGAGTTGCAGTTTGGAGGGGATGGGGATGATACTTTATTATGGGAGGGTCCAAGGGATAAAGGGGTTTTTCGGTGTCGTCGTTTTATGGGATGCTTGAAGGGGGTGGAGTTGGGGTGTTCCCTTGGAAGCGCATTTGGGCGGTGGGATCACCGTCCAAGGTTGCTTTCTTTGTTTGGACAGTTGCTTTGGGTCACATTCTGGCTATTGATAACTTAATTCGGTGATGGCATGTGTTGGTAAATTGGTGTTGTATGTGTTGTAGGGATGCGGAAACTGTGGATCATTTGTTTGTCCATTGCCTGGTTGTGGTTCGGTTTTGGAATTTGATTGTTGTTTTATTTGGTTTGGTTTGGGTGCAGCCGGGGTCTATGTTGGGTGTTCTACAAAGTTGGGGTGGGACTGGGGTGGGCAAAAGGCGTCGGAAGGCTTGGGTACTTGCTTCAGATTGTTTGTTTTGGTTGATCTGGTTGGAGTGTAATAGGCGGGTTTTTCAAGATTTTAGTCACTCGACTCTTTGGTTAGAAAGTAGGGTACTTTTGATTTTGTATAGTTGGGTGAAGGGTTTGGTGGATCCTGATGTTTTGACTTTTGTTGATTTTGTGGAAGAGTTGATTAAGCATTTAACATGTGCAATGGAAAAGAAAATCTATGTCCGAATGGTTCAACCAGCAACTTTGGGTTTGATTGGTTCCAATCTAAAGACTAGGTGAGATTTGATCAAGGCTTGGGCATCCACTCCAACCATTTGGGTTGCTTGTGTCGTAGGGTAACGTTCAACCTAACCCAAATAAGCTATCATATCATTGAAGTTGGGTTAGCATCTTTCTGGGGTTCCATACCTTGGGACTTTATGTTTGTAACTTGTCTTTGGTACTCTGGAGAAACAAACCTTGATTGGGCCCCTTTACCATTCTGTATAATGGGCTATTCTAACAGCCCAAGTTGCAGCCCTGCTATCTTATAATTTGAGTTGTAGTATCTCGTGGATGTAGATCAGCCCTATTGTTTTTTTTATTTGAAGTTGGAGATTATGGTGTTGATAAATTCCAAATAAGACAGGTTCAATCCAACGGATTTTCTTTTGTTGCTGTAGGAATGGGGTGATCCTCGCAAAGAAGAGTTTTATTTCTACATGAAGTCATATTCCCCTGTTGATAATGTGAGCACCAAATGACTCTTTTATTTATTTAGTCATGTTATTGTTCCCAGCTTATAAGATCCCTACAAACAACCTGGCCTACAGTGACCAACACTTGGCAATTGGCACCATCTGAATTAATGACTTGGTTAGTCAGTTCTGAACATTTTTAACAACTTACAGACTGAAACCATTGCCTTGTTTTGCACAGATTAAGGCACAAAATTATCCAGCCATTCTCGTGACAGCTGGTTTTCATGGTAAGTTAAAGGTTGTAAAGGTCCAATCCTTCTTTGAGTTTCTCATTTATAAGCATTGTTGTTAGAATCTTACGATTCATGATTTGATTCATACGATTCGATATGCGTTTCAAACAAAATGATTCGATTTATTTGTCAACAAAAAAAAAAAAAAAAAAAAAAACAAAATGATTCGATTTGTGTAGTTGAATCTTAAATTGAGTGAATCTTACGATTCACTATGATTTATTGCGATTTGGGCGTGTTTGCATAATGCATGAACAGTGTCATTTTCGCAAAATTAAAAAAGATTAACTAAATATATTGATATACATGATTATATATACAGAATTTAGATATATTGATATTTATTTCATTTTAGGCATGTTTGCACCTGGATTTTTGATCCTCAATGCAAGGATCGATAAATCAAGAATTTATGTGCTGAAAGAAATACGATCCCGATATCTGTAACTCAGGCTATAAGTGTTTGAAAATTTGGAGTCGCCATCTAACATATAATTCGGGTGTGTGAGGTCACCCAAAGCCATTTTTAAGAAAAAAAAGCTTTATTTAACATTGAAAAAAATATTTTAGAAAAATGCAAGGTTGGGCCTATTGTTGACTTCCATTTCAGTCTTCGAAAATCAGAGATGGGTTTGAGGGTTAACTGTCATGAGTAGGGGAGGTGTTAGGAACTCTTCATCTCTATTTCAGTTTTATTTTTCCAAATCTGTTGATTTCTGAGTCAAGTGAATTTGTCTTGACTTTTGTTTCATATAATGAAAATCATGCAATAATATATATAGCCCATACAATGTGTATTGTGAAAATTGGGTTGAGTAAAATGATTTTTTATTTTTTATTTTTATTAAAATGTTTGCAAGAGTAAAAGAAAAATTTCATGCAACGGCAAGCAATATGATATTATGTAAATAGACAAAGAGGATGCAATACGATGCATGCATGCCAATTTTTTGTTATGTGAGATAGTTAATAATAATTATAAAATTTTAAAATGGTAAAAAAAAAAATGGCATCGGCATAGCCATACATTGCCAAAAGGGTGGTGTTGGCATAGCCAGACTGAACCAAAAAAATTAGATAGAAAAGTGCAGATTTTAGGATTTGTTATACAAACAACATGCCGCAATTCAAGTTCCATGGTCTGCAACATTTTTTATTTTATTTATTTATTATATAATCTCTCTTGAAATTCAAAAAATAAACCCAGGAACCTATATATAGAGAATATTATGAAGAATGAACCAATTGAGTTATTTTATTTTAAAACCTAAAACAATTTAAGTGATGTATGGTTATTGTTCAAAAGAAAGTTGCAGAATTATTGCGTTTGGCTGACCTGACCCATGTACTGTTAAATCATATGTATTTCACTAAAACAATGATAGATAATTTATGGGTGTAGGTTACTTTAAACTTGAGCATCTGTCTGAGAAGATGTTATACATCAAGTTAGTTTAATCTTAAGCATTTGTATTATGACACTAAAATAGCAATAGATAATTCAAGGATTTGATTGGATCCCATTAAAAACTCCATGATCACCAAAATAACAGCAAACCATGCACAAGTATTGGTTATTTTCATACTGAACACTTTTAGAAGTTATATTGTGTCATTGACACTAAAAGTAATTAGGAAAAAAAGGATCAAAATATGTTGAACAAGTTTGTTTCAAGAATTGCCTGAATTGTAAAAAGTAAATCGAATCGCAAATCAATTGTAAATCGTGTGATTCACCATAAATTTTATCCCAAAATAGATTCATCCATAGATTCATATCGATTTTTGATAAATTGCGAATTGAATTTGTCCAGTATTGTAGATATAATGATTTATAATTTAATTAGTCCAGTATTGTAGATATTGTAACTTTTGATGTTACTTGTGTCAAATTTATGTTGGTGGATTAAACAATCTTATTATTCAATATTTTCATAGATGATAACTCTATTGAAGTTGTCTTTTTTGTTAGTAATAATAACTTTATTGAAATGGGAATAAATATTATTTCTAGTGCAGAACTAGTGCTTCTCTGAACACTTGAACATGACATTGGAATCTCATTACTGCAAACCTTATTGATGGTGATGGAATTTCATTCCTGATCCTCATTCATTTCTTACTGATGGTGACAAAATAGGTGAAACCTTTTCCACTAATTTATATTCCATGCTGTAAAACCTGTCCTGTATCCTTCAAACTAGTCCTGTATTTTGTTTTCTTATAAACGCAAACTAGCATTCAAGAAAAGTCCCTAATTTGTCATCATACTGCTATTATATAATTCTGTAACGTTTGGAACATTGTCAGTAAGAAAACAAAGAAAAGTTTATTTTTTGGGTGCAAAAAATAATAACAAATAATATGTTTGGTATGTACATATGTTTTCAAAAGACATAAAAACAATAACGAGAAAATATGTTCGGTGAGTTACCGGAGGTTTGGGAGTGCCTGGAGGGAATGAACAATGTTTTTAAAACAGGTGAAATCACATTTTTGTTTCCTTAAAATTTGAAAATATTGAAACTTCCCAATCTTTTGGAAAAGAGAACAGTACCAAATGAGTATTGGATCCCATTAAAAACTCCATGATCACCAAAATAACAGCAAACCATGCGCAAGTATTGGTTATTTTCATACTGAACACTTTTAGATGTTATATTGTGTCATTGACACTAAAAGTAATTAGGAAAAAAAGGATCAAAATATGTTGAACAAGTTTGTTTCAAGAATTGCCTGAATTGTAAAAAGTAAATCGAATCGCAAATCAATTGTAAATCGTGTGATTCACCATAAATTTTATCCCAAAATAGATTCATCCATAGATTCATATCGATTTTTGATAAATTGCGAATTGAATTTGTCCAGTATTGTAGATATAATGATTTATAATTTAATTAGTCCAGTATTGTAGATATTGTAACTTTTGATGTTACTTGTGTCAAATTTATGTTGGTGGATTAAACAATCTTATTATTCAATATTTTCATAGATGATAACTCTATTGAAGTTGTCTTTTTTGTTAGTAATAATAACTGTTTTGAAATGGGAATAAATATTATTTCTAGTGCAGAACTAGTGCTTCTCTGAGCACTTGAACATGACATTGGAATCTCATTACTGCAAACCTTATTGATGGTGATGGAATTCATTCCTGATCCTCATTCATTTCTTACTGACGGTGACAAAATAGGTGAAACCTTTTCCACTAATTTATATTCCATGCTGTAAAACCTGTCCTGTATCCTTCAAACCAGTACTGTATTTTGTCATCTTATAAATGCAAACTAGCATTCAATAAAAGTCCCTAATTTGTCATCATACTGCTATTATATAATTCTGTAACGTTTGGAACATTGTCAGTAAGAAAACAAAGAAAAGTTTTTTTTTGGGTGCAAAAAATAATAACAAATAATATGTTTGGTACGTACATATGTTTTCAAAAGACATAAAAACAATAATGAGAAAATATGTTCAGTGAGTTACCGGAGGTTTGGGAGTGCCTGGAGGGAATGAATACTGTTTTTAAAACAAGTGAAATCACATTTTTGTTTCCTTAAAATTTGAAAATATTGAAACTTCCCAATCTTTTGGAAAAGAGAACAGTACCAAATGAATTTTTGTTTTCAGTTTTCAAAATTTTTTGACACGAAAACAGAAAACATAATACAAAAGCGTTGCCAAATAGGCAACTTTTAATTAACAAAGTTTATTTATTTATTTATTTTTTGAAAATCAACAACGAAATTTATTAAAAAAGAAAGTGTGGAGGACAAGAAGTCCTCATACAGTGAAAAAGTTTAATTGGAAACTCTGGTTGGTAATTTTCTATATTTCTATTTGTGGGTTGCTTGATTCACCTGGTGAATGTTGTTGAGGCAAGCAACTAGTTCCAGCATGTATGTTTACCTTAGCGATTGAAAGATGGTTTCAATTTAACCATGTTTTTTCAAAAGTAGACTTGGTGGGATCAATTGGACAGGGAGTACTGAAACTGATCCCCCAGCCAATGTTGCTTGCATTAGGAATGAATTGGATGGCCATTTTCTTCTATTATCTGTTGCAAGATTTTCTTTTCATTGTATTTTAATATGAACTACGATATTTTTTCCAGATACACGTGTTATGTATTCAGAACCTGCCAAGTTTGTGGCAAAGTTGAGAGATATGAAGACTGATGATAACATGCTATTATTCAAATGCGAATTCGGTGCTGGGCACTCTTCAAAGTCTGGAAGGTAATATTCTTGCTTTTGTTAAAAAAATCAATTATGTTTTGAAGTTGTAAGTAAAAGTTGCACTAAACAATCTGCATAGTCTTCCAAATTAAAATAAGGTATAATCGGCTCATTTAAGCTGCAACAAATTGCCGCGTGCTTTGTCAAATAGGCCCAATTTCTGACTGGACAGTTGCTCATATGGAACCCTTTGGATATGGAAACTTGATTATTTGGTGTCATATTATTAAGGGCAAACTTCACTTTACCTCGTTATAGTTTAGGTCATGTGCGGTTTACCTGCCTAATGTTTGAAAATAATCACATAACTCTCTTGTGGTTTGTAGATTGAAGTGCACCGTTAGACTTGTTAACGATTTAATTAAAAAGACTAAAATAGCTTTGTATTTTCATCATTTGTTTGGAAGGCAAAGTGCACTTTAACCCCTGAGCTTATTCCATATGCGATTTTCCCCCTTGAAATTTGAAAATGAGAATATAACTCCCTTATGTTTGTGACGTGTTTCACACTTGCTGTTAAGTTAGACAGAATGTTTAGCGGTACACTTCAATCCACAAACCACGTGGGGCTATATGGTCATTTCCAAATGTTAGAGGGGGAAATTGCACATTGCCCAAACCACAAAGTGGTAAAGTGAAGTTTGCCCTGTTATTAATATAATATTGAAAGAAAATTCCTTGTCACGTCCTGCCGAGTTGTCTACACACAATTTTCCTCGCTGAGGTGGACTAGAAGGATGGAGGTTAATGGAAGATTCCAAAATCTCCGAGAAGACTTGAGAGAATTGTGGCAATGTTGTACATAATTCTACAACTTGTATAGAATACTCTAGAGTAGGTTCTAAATAGTTCTTTGGAAGATTGTGGAGGACTCTAATTGATTCTACACAGCCTATTAATTGTATATTCTAGATGGTTCCTAGAAGGCTAGGGAAAGCTATATAAGGGGTGAAGGCTCATTTGCCTCTCAACCCAGTTCACATCCATCCAATTTGGAGTGTAAATTCTCTCTAGCAATACAAGTGCATTCTCTCAAACCCTTGTGTGTGCTGATCTTCTCTCTTGTTCACTAAAGGTTAGGCAGACTTTGCATCAGTAGCTAAGTTTGTAAGTAGCTAAGTGTCACATGAAGCACTTGCAAATAACTAAGGCCGTGATGTCCTGCTCTTATTTTGTTGTCTAATGTGTTCAATTTTTTCAAGTTTTTGAAGCAAATAGTTTGTTCCTCTCTCCACATAATTAACCAATATTAAAAGGGGTTTCTATTTTTGTTCATACGTACATAGAGCAGAGTCTATGCATGATGTATGACAACTTTAGGAAACTTGGCCTAAGCCGCCAATAAGTGTGTTTGATGTGGGTTAGGAGTGGATTCTAGGGTTAGTGTTTTTGAAAGATTGGAAGTGGACCTAATTCATGCCTAGAGGGGTGAAGAGGCCTAGGAAGTATAGGCAATTAAAGTTTTTAATTGCAACTACAATATATATATACTAGCGTATGCCCGTGCTTGAAGGCACGGTATAAATAATGTTAGGATTAGAATATAATTGTAATTCTAATACTATTTAAATTTATTTTTTAATTTGATAAATTTACAAATTTATTATAAAATTTTGGAGTCCTCATAAAACTTCTTACGAAAACTCGTTTTTGTTTATACAATACATAGCAAGATAGATAGATGTACCTGGCATGCATACAATTTTTACGGGTATACATACAATAATGTTTTTGCTTATATAATTATATGAAAATTGTATGTATGCCTGTAATGTTCTAGTGTATTATGGGCATACATACATTGGATGGAAATATGTATAAAATATATTGAACAAAAAGGAGAAAATAGAAAAATAAACAAATAGAGAAAAAAATAAAAATGGGAGAAAATAAAAAAATAAAATGAAAAGAGGGAGGAAGGTCTCATGGAAGGATGGGTGAGAAAATAAAAAAGTAAGAGAGAGAAGAGGGAAAATAGAAAATGTACATGTAGGAGATTTTTTGAAAAATATATATCAGCCATTGTTTTAAAATTTAAACAGATATGAGCCATCCAAATGTCATAGTAAGACAAAAATATATTGAAGATTCAAAAACCGTCCTATTTTATTAAAATATGTTAAAATTCATATGAGATCTAAATTTATGAAGTCTATTATGTATTCAATATATTTAAAAATAATAATTAATTGTTCAAATTCATTTAATTTTGGACTGTAAAATTCATTAATTTAATCTCCACAACACAGAGTAAAATCTGGCTCTTAATTCTGAAATCGCAGACTTTTTCATATAATATGAATAAAAAATAAGTGAACAAAAATGAGAAAAAAAAAAAACAAATAGAGAGAAATAAAAATGGGAGAAAATAAGAAAATAAAAAGAAAAGAGAGAGGAAGGTGGGATCATGAGATTATAAAAGGATGGGTGAGAAAAGGAAAAAGTAAGAGAGAGAAGCGGGAAAATAGAAAATGTATATATAGGATATTTTTTGAAAAATGTATATCAGCCATTGTTTTATAAATTGAATAGATCTGAGCTGTTCAAATATCCTAGTAGGACAAATGTGCGTAGGACAAATTCAAAAACTGTCCTACTTTATTATATAGATATATTAATCCGTAACCAACCCCACATATAGCATAAATAGCATAAATAGATCAATACTTGCATGCAATTTACGTGAAAACCTTGAAGACAATGACCCATGAGGAAAAAACATGAGCATCTTAGTAGTCAAAACAATTCATTGTATCTAAAGTTCAAATACAAAACTCAAATATTAAGTGACTTGCAACCAAATTGGGACACACTTAACCCTTGATATATTGACCCACAATACCCCCTGTTCCATCACCACTTGCTGGTGGCTCTGACGACCGTCGACCTTCTCTTGATTTTGGATTGCACACTACGATTCCTCTTGATGGGATCCAAGAACAAGAGAGCTTGTGTTTCTTCTTAGATCTCTTGGATTCAAGGATTCACTTGGATGGTTTGGGGAAATGAGGCCCTCCCCCTTTTTATAGGACACAAAAGAACATTCCAGAGTATACAAGAACAATATATACATGTATAGAATTATGTATAAAATTCTACCATTCTCAACAAGGCTCTAGGAAACTCTAGAAAGTTCTATTAACCTCTAGAGCCTTCTAGTGTCTTCTAGAGTGAGCATCCAAATTAGCCAGTCTGTGACACTAGGCATTTGTTGCTCAAGATCGTTAGAGGATTGTGGTTTGGAGGCAATCGAGGTTTCCTTGCTTGCTTCTCCTTAGGGAGCAACTGCTTCTTGACTGGTCTTAGAGGGAGGGTTGTTGACTCAACGGATACCTCGAGAAAGGTATCGTACCCATGAGCCACATTGTGTCATGATACACCTTTTGAGGCATCATAACTAACTCTCGAACTCCCATGATATAAACTCCAAGATATGAATCATGGAATGTAGAGAAGACTTGATAGCTCCACTGTGTTGGTCTAAGGAGAGCTAGCCACCGGTCCATGGATGAGCTTGGTCTTCAACCATCTTGAAGCATATATAAGGGGTATCCATGCACATTGACAACACAACCATTATCAATTCAGTAACAATGGTCTTGATGACCATGAAGTAAGGTTGCCTTTGTTCTCTCATCTGTTTCTAGTGACTTCCAGCTATTGAAGTGACCACTATGTTCTCAGAGGTTAACGATCGACCACTTCATTACCAAATACCTACACTTAAAATAAGGATGAAATTGAGACTCAAATCAATCAAAAGCTTCATTTCGTAATGCCCTAAATATGTTGCATGTGGAATTCTAAATTAACCCTTTTTTCTTCTCCATGCTCTGCATTGTGTCGCTTCTATGGTGGAGCTATTTACATCAAAATACTATTCACTACTCATGAACAAGTACTTGAACATGTTTCATTTGTTAACTCGTTCACTTCACATATCCAACAGAGAGGAGGGTGTGACCATAATAATACCAATCTAGCTTTTAGCTATGAATGAATGAGTGTATGAGATGGCCCAGTTAGTTTATTGTCATTTTTTTATGAAATCATGGTTGTTGGAATCTTACGATTCATGATTCGATTCATACAATTTGATATGAGTTTCAGCCAAAACGATTTGATCCGTGCTGCTGAATCTTAAATTAAGTGAATCTTATTCAATTGCGACTCACAACAATTCATTTATGTTTGTATAATTCTTAAAACAACGTTGTTTTGCAACAAAAAAAAGGAAAAAAAGAAAAAAAAGGAGATCAATTCATTGTATTGATATACGTGATTATATATATAATTTAGTTATTAATGTTTACTTCATTTTAAACATTGTGTATACTTTTATGTGTATATATAATTATACATTATAGTAAATAAAGTGAATCTTACGGTTTACGATTCACTTTTTTAACAAAACTATTTATGATTTAATTCGTGATTTGACAACAATGGATGAAATACCAATTGACATCGAAAAATAGATATAAAATAAGAATATTCAAAATCTTTTTTAAAAAGGGTTCAATGTGTAATTGAATCCACAAGGTAAAGAACTGAAGATGGTGCAAAACCAAGTGCTGGAATTGATATTTACATGTATCTTCTCACGATGATAAGAGATATAGAAGGAAATATAATATTGTAAACATGCAATCATATTGCCAAACATAGGGCCATTATTTGTTGCAATGGTAGCGATGGTAAAACCCCGGGTTTGCAGGCACATAAACACAATTTTGTGTCTTAGGAACAAGGATAGCCACTTTATAGGGATTAAGCTAGAGGCCAGGCCATTTATGAGTTCACACCCACCCTTTCCTTCACTTTGAATTGATGGGACAATATGAGGGGCGAATGGCATGATTTGTCAACCTAATTATCTTGCCTTTTCTACACAAGATTTGCCACCCCAGTAGCATGCTTTTTATTGCATTACTTTGACCTTTGCTTAACAAAAAACATAGAAAAGAAATGTTTGATATTTACAAAAACCTCTCTCACTT